AAGTAAAACTGTTTGGGCAGATGAGACCCCAGGGTGAGCAGTCAATATTCACCCAAGTGGTCCAAGATCTCCCTAGAGAAATTCCAGATGGTGATAAATATTTCTTTAAATTACTCTGTTACCCTGGTGGAGAGTAGCTTACATATCAGCATGTACTTCGGAATCTAAGACTTTAATCACATGAGCCAATGAAACTGCCACTTTACTCGTTAATCTCCATAGGTCTCTAAACTCTCTGGCTAAGGTTCTAAATAATCAAATTGCTTTAAGTTACTTACTATCCTAACAAGGAGGTGTTTCCCTCCTGTACTTACATTAAGATCTCAGCTCAGGTACAAACATCACCAAAACCAAGCAATGGGCTATCTGGCTTCAACAAACATTAGACCACCACACCCCTCTTTGAGGGAACTGGAGATTGGTTTGTGAGTCTATATTTATGAATACCACAAGGGCTCAGGTCCATATTAAGAGAAATTTTAATTTAAGTTTAAACATTCTTTTCTTTATAATGCTTATCTTTGTTTTGAAGCTTTTTAGGGCTTATTGTTCCCGCACCCAATGGGTGCCCCTAAGGAATGTATCTACTTTTAACTCACGAGATTCTGCTTTACAACAGACTCAAATTATTCATTCCCCCAGAAAATTCAAAAGCTCCACTGATATGGAGAAAAAACTTGACAGTGGGGAATTGTAACAGGGAATAAATATGCTATACTTATATAAAGCTACCCATATTTAGTGTTAAACCCAGATTGTTACTGATTTCTCTCTCAAAACTAGATCTTACATGTTAAAAGATTTTTTTTTTTTTTTTTAAGTATACTTCACAATCCAACAGTTTCAGTTCCTGTGGGAACCTAAGGAGCAGCTTGACCTTCAAGGCTCTGGCCCAGGCACAGGAATTCACTGATAAAAAAAACAGATTGCCAACTCAAGGACGCTGACCAACAAGGACACTGTCTGCATGTCCACAAGCCCTCCCCCTGGTCTTTGTCCTGCTTTCCCTCTCCCTCTTTATAAAAACCGCCGCCTGCACTGAGATCTTAATATGGGTTTTTGAGGACTGGGAAAAGTCCTCCATCTTCTTGAGATGCTAGCACTTGAATAAACCTCTTTCCTTTTACCAGCACTGGTCTCACGAGTTTGGTTTTCATTGTGGCAGGAGGCAGAATCTGGATTTTGGTTACACCACCATTTTGAACATTACTGATCTTAGGGAAGACAGAAAGGAGGACTTGGTGAACCAAAGGCTGGCATTTAAAACTTTTACTCAGAAGTTTTGCATGTCACTTCTACTCAACTCATTGGCCAAAACAAATCACATGGTCACATCTAAGTTCAACAAGGCAGGGATGTATTATCTTTCCATAGAGAGGGGAGATGCATCAAAATATTGTGAAAAATAATGCAATATACCTCACATTATGAATTTTGCAACAACCTTCATGAGGCAGGCTGGTCTATAGTTTCTCACCTTATAAATAATCTGAAAGTAAAAATTTACTTATTACTGTAAGGTGGCTGACACTAATAGGGTAGTTATCTAACTTTAAAAGATAAGTGGTGGTGGAGGGACAAATGTCTGACATGAAGCCTTTATACTAACAAAAGGCACTTGTATATGAGGCATGTTTTTAATACTATCATCTCCTTTTCTGCCTTGTATGTTAAAATGCATTTTCTGTACACATTCCTGACAGTGCTTTCAGCTGAGCAACTCTGTTGAATTCAAGCCTTAACACATTGTATGCGGGAAACATATTTATACGTTTTACGTTGACTGGTAGTAGAGTGCGTGATAAAAACTACCCGCAATGTTAACAGATTACTAAGGAAATGATAATCTTGTGGGTGGAGACTGGAGGTTTTCCTGTCACCTTCTAGCTTCTTTCTTTACACCACCCCCTACCCTCTCTTCTCCATCAGGCCTCCTGTATATATAGCATCTTTTGCCTAGGAGTCCCAACAAAGAGCATAACCATTACCTCACCTGTAAGACAGGCAACTGCTAAATATTTACTCATATTTTTCATATGGACTAATTGAAAACACCAAATAGTCAAGTGGCCTAAGGCTATTTACCTTCAGAAAACCCTCTAGAGCTGCTGTCTAATGAGCAATTCCCTTACCTTTCACTATGCCACACGAGAGAGGCCACTATTTGTCAAGTTTATTTCAGTTCATCTTTCTGGTATGCAACTGTACCAAAACTGAAAGCAATAAAACCTTGTCTTATCAGGTATTATTAAATCCCTGAATTGGTGAATGGAGAATGGTGGGACACATGAATGGCAGGAGGAATCCAATTATAGAAAAATGGAACAAGTGACAGTAAAATTTGTGATTTATATGAAAGCCATACAGTACAGACTCAGCATAGTCTCTTAAACTTTTATTAACAGTAGAATCATACTTACTGCCAAATCTATGATGACTACAAACTCCATGCAAAATGCTAATGCTGGCATTCATACCACAGCCAACTTACCTTAACAGGGCTTTGTTTTACTGTTATCTTCAGCTAACCTATACAGTGGTCAAATTTGGTATCTTATTTCTGGGGTATAGCTCACATTTCCCCCTGCTGAGGCCTTTTTCATGTTGTTCTTCCTGCTTGCAAGGCACTCTCCATGCATGATGTCTGCTTATCAGAATCTTAGACTTTAAGACCTATTGGGACACCACTCCTTCCATGTGTCTCTTGGATTCCTAATTGGTATCTTTCTTCTATATCATTTTAGCACCACTGTGTGAAACTGTTGGCACAGTATTATAATACTCTAACTCTCCAGACCCTTTCTACCCACTCAGCATACTGGCTAGTAAGCAACTTATAAATTAGCCCATGCTGCATTTTTTTATAGTTATGGCACATGGGAATCATGCTACCATTTGTTGGCTGTGACCTCTGATTTGTTGGTTGTGCTCTCTCTTCTGCAGTCTTTATAAATCTTAAAAATTCTAGTAAAGTCCTTTTACCAGTCACTGGGTTTCTCCTGTCTCTTTATGGGGTGTGCTGGGGGCATTTGCTCAAATTCTGCTCATGGTAAAAAGTCCCATCTTCCTCTGATAACAATGTGCATTATCCAAAGTGTTTTCAAGGTAGTTAATAGGAGTCAGAGGCTGAACCTACAGTGATTACTGGATATATAGGAAGTAGTGAGTTGCAAATACACATCAATGCTATGCTTAAAGAAGAGGGGAGACAATGTCTATTGCAATGACCAGGTTCCAGCCTGTTCACAATCACCCATGAAGGTATTAATAAGTAAATACATGGTAGTGACTTAACTGGAAAAAATACCTAAGATGGTGGCTTTCAAATACAAATCAGGGAGTTTTCCCCTACATAATACTATTTCCTGTTAGTTGAGTTAAGAAAGCCTTTTGATTTAAATTCTAAACAAACAAAACTGCCAACTGCTTTTATTTCAGAACAGATGGTCCACACAAATAATTTTCTATGATTTGGCCACAGTAAGAAAAGAACTAGCAAACACTAAAAGGAAGTGGAAGTTGTTAGAGAACAGTCATACATGAAGCAATACATAAACTGACATATAGACAATAGAATAGTATACAATTGTTAAAAGAATAAAGCGCCACAAAACTGTACAGAGTTCTGTTTATTTTAAAAGACTGTACCTATTGTAATATTTATCAATGAACACTAGCAAAAGTACTCTCAGGGAAATAGAATTTTCATTGGGTAATCTATTCAAGGAACATATTTTTATCTATTTTTTAACAGGAAAAAAATCAAAGTCTAATACACACACATGGGAAATTCATACAGGCATGACACAAAGAACATATTTTTCAAGAAGCTCCATAATAGAATGATTTTCAACAATTAAAAAGTCTTATACTCTACTAGCATGTTTAAACTTTTATATATATATATATATATATCTTTATTGATTTCAGAGAGAGGAAAGGAGAGGGAGAGAGAGAAACATCAATGATGAGAGAGTCATTGATCGGCTGCCTCCTGCATGCCCCCAACTGGGGATCGAACCTGCAACCCGGGTATGTGCGCTGACCGGGAATCGAATAGTGATCTCCTGGATCCTAGGCGGATGCTCAACCACTGAGCCATGCCCGGCCGGGCTAAATTTAATTTTTTTTAAAGATGCTTCTCTTCAATAAAATTAATAATGTAGGAAAAGAGCTCAAGAATGTTCATTATTGTAGGCAATTATAATTGCATTAAGCCTGTAATACTAAGAGGATAAAATTGGCCTTTTTAAAAAAATTTATCTTTATTGTTGAAAGTATTACAGATGTCCCTTTCCCCCCACTCCCTCAACCCCACTCCTGCCACTTCCCCAGGCCTTCACTGCACTATTGTCTGTGTCTATGGGTTATGCAAATATCCATGTAAGTTCTTCAAAACAAAGTTACCAGATTTCTGTTTTTTGTAGGCTCTGGTGCTCAGAGGGAAGGAAGATCTTTGGCTTTGTAACATAGCCTCCTTATAAAACTAATAAAAACCTAAAGATATGGTTCTCTAATATGTGGTTAAGTTTGGAACGCTGAGGATAAGCACCTGTTAGTTCTAACTTTATGTGCACATACAAATTTTTTAAGCTTTCCAAAATTTGGAATAAAGCAACTATTTTGCAAATCTTTAATTGGGCAGACAACTGGTAACTAAAACAGAAATAAGAAAATAAAACAACAACAATGAAGCAAAAAATTACAAAATGAGAATGTCCACAAGCTACTTAACAATATGAATTTAGGGTAGAGTGACCAAAACAAAAGGCTGTTCTTCCTGAGCATTCTGATGACCTGCTGCTCTCCCATGCTGCTAGTAATATTGGAAAATAAAAAAATTCATATATGATTCAACCCTGTCTCTGCTTAATTGGCTCAAGTAGTAACAGGCACCCGGACCCATTCATTGTTCGGTTCCAGTTATTTTCATTGATGGAGCTGAACTAAGAGGAGCGCTGGTGAGAAGAGGTGAGAACCAGCAAAAGTCAACAAACATCTTATTAATACTGATGCCTTTTATTCTGTGCTTTGTACAGAGAACTTTCAAATAATTATAAACTTACAATAAACATTTCTGTCTGATTAAATAAAACTTGAATAGCATTCATTGTGGTCAAATCAGAATTAAACCAGAATTATCATATGCCAGCACATACAATCATCCCTCTGGTGGTTGGAAAACTGGCTCAAAGACATAGAGGGTACATGTTGATGAGGGAAGGCCATGCTTGGAGAAAGCTGGGTCTTTTTGATCACCTTTATTCCATTTTTACTTCATCACCACTCTCCCGCCTGAGCTTGAACACAGGAATCTGCTGACCATCCTTGAGCTCTAAGCAGACCTCCTGAAGGTACCACCTGACAGAAACCAAAAGTAATCCAGAAAACATTGGCAAATGACATAATTAAAAGGGAAAAAAAACAGTCTGGAATATTGTCTTAAATTTTTTAAATACTATTTTATGTTATAAGTAGGTTAACATAATGTTTTCACATTATTTGTTTTTATTTTTAAAATTTTTTAAAAGAACAGTTTATTGATTTTTCAAGAGAGAGGAAGGGAGAGAGAGAGAGAGAGAGACATTTATTTGAGAGCACATCAATCGGCTGCCTCCTGCATGCCCCACACCTGGGGATTGAGCAGCAACCCGAGCATGTGCCCTTGACTAGAAATCGTACCAGCAACCTCCTGGCACAAGGGATGATGCCCAACCCACCGAGTCACACTGGCTAGGGCTTAACATTTCATTATAGGGCTCTCATTATTTAATCAGCATCACTGTCAAGGCAAGTTTAACAACGAATGACTGATGGGTAAATTGAAGGGGCATCAGGAAAGAGGAGTAGCTTATTCCCCATTTCCTAATTCACTAGGGCCTTCAATTCTTGGCTAGAACCTGGCCATTTCCTCCACTAATCCCAGGCCTTGTAGTCAATGAGCCCAGGGGGAGGCACCTAAGGGCTGTCTGCTCCTTTTTTCTTGGGGAGTTAAAACACATCCTGACTAAACAGCAAACATCTCTGAGAGAAGCTTTCCCAGGGAAATGAGTGAATGCAGCTATTGGCAATCAGACAAGAAAAACCTATTACATAAAGAATGCATTGAATAATTCTGGAATAGAAATCCATGTCTTTCTTTATTTGTAAAGATTGAGGCAGTAGTGTTAGCACTTGTAAAATTATTGTAGACCTACACTATAACTGTAAAGTTCTTCAAATTCAGCAGAATAAAGAGTGAACAATCTGGTGGACTGTATTGAATAAAATGTCTGAACTAAGCTAAGAGCCAAAGCACTGGCTTGCTGTCCAGGATGTGAAACTTCTCAAGCTTTGAATAAGTCATTCTTATTGCCACAATTATATAACTACAAATGAAAATGGGAATCAGGATTGTTTCCTTCAGAAGGTTCTTTTCCTGTTCCTCCATACCCACCCACTTTCCCATAATACCTGTTAAAGGGGGCATCTCTGGATGAGCTGACATAGAGATGGCCTGCTGACTTGGATCCAGAGACAGGAATCTTCAACTGGCAGTGTAAAATGGGATAGATAATTGGATATGTTGCTGTCCTCTCAAGAGATGACAAAATGATACTTTCTAGAGCTAACCCTATAAAAACCAGTGATTATCTACAGAACCTGGCTATTTTCTAACTTAAGTCTAGCTGGAGAAGTCACCTGGTTTTCTATCTGGCTCCCTCCAAATGTCCTGCCCCTCTTCGGATGGTTTGGTGAGGTCAAAGGCAGCCCTCTTATTTGGCAAGGAGACCTTATGTGCCAAACTCAATACTCTGAGTACTTGCAATGATTACTTAAAATCCAGTTAAAATAGAAAAAACTACTTATACATGTGACAACATGGGTGAATATAAAAAACATGCTGAGTGAAAGAGCCTTACCCAACAGTATATAATGCATGATTCCATGTTCTAAAACAGGCTAAAAATATCAGGCTAAAAATTATTGTAGACCTACACTATAACTGTAAAGTTCTTCAAATTTAGCAGAATAAAGAGTGAACAATCTGGTGGATTGTATTGAATAAAATGTCTGGACTAAGCTAAGAGCCAAAGCACTGGCTTGCTGTCCAGGATGTGAAACTTCTCAAGCTTTGAATAAGTCATTCTTATTGCCACAATTATATAACTACAAATGAAAATGGGAATCAGGATTGTTTCCTTCAGAAGGTTCTTTTCCTGTACACTGGGGGCAAAATATCAGAAAAGTGATCGCCTCTGCTGGGGCTGGGGGATGTGAGACGGGACAAACTGGTAACATGAAGTGAACTATTGGGTGATGGGAACAGTCTACATCTAGATAAGGGCTTGAAGTGTACTTGTTAAAATTCATCAAATAAGACACTTAGATTTGTACCTTTCACAGAACATAAATTTTAGCTCAAAAAAAGGAGCCATAAACAAATATTAAACTCTAGTTAATGATATACATGCATATGTGTTTAAAGATATATGGATGTTTGAAAATAATGTGTTCATCTAACCAAACTGAGATATGGCTATATGAACAGGTGTGGGATAAAGCAAGTACAGCAAAATACTATTTGTAGAATCCAGGTAGTTACTATATGTGTTCTAGAGCATACATTCTTTTTTTTTTCTTCTATATGTTTAAAACTTTTCACAAAACATTAGAAGAAAAAAAAGGACAATGTCCACTGTTTAAAAAGGGAAACTATTACCAGCAAATTGGCACACATTTTAACCTGGACCACAAAGAACAGGCCTTAAATATGTAAAGGCTTGTTTGAGAAAGACAAGGGAATCCTGGTTAGTTCATCCTCACCAGTCACCCACCACAGTCTGGGCTCATCCCACATGGACAGGTGCTGCCTGGATGCTGCCATGTCCTGAGTCTGGGGAATCAGCCTGGGAACCTCAGAGTGAGCTGATAGGTGTTTGCTAATATGCTCCTATTTAAAAAAATACTGAAAGCATTATTTTTGGTTTCTCAGTGAAAAATAAAGACAATTTGAGGCAAGTGAAAGAGAAACAATGTTGTAACAAGGAAGCTCATCATAAGGTACTGCCCATGGCGCCTTCCAGTGCCCCAGGAGATAGGCAAAGGTACTTTCCTAGTCTGAGATGGTGTATCTTATCCATAGCAAACTTCCACCAAGAGAAAGAACTACTTTTGTTTTCCAAAATTCTCTCATTTATTTAAACACACTTTAAAGACACACGCTATGGGATGGTGGCTCCACACCCCAAGTCACACTAAAGTGATTCTTCAGAGTTTTACTTTTGAAATCAAGCTATAGCTCTTCTCAGGGCATTAAAAAATTAAGCAACAGAGCATACATTGAGCATCTCTGCATGCTAAAAGAAAACCATAAAGGGTGTGTGTGTGATAAACGGGCAGAAGTAGGATTTTGAGGAACAGCAGACACAGAGGGATCAATGTCTGAACTTCCGGCAGTTGTGCCTCTATGGGTGGATGAGGTGCTTTACAGACTGGTTTCTTCACTGTCCAGGGTTTGCCAAAGAGTAAAGCAGGAGTGTTTGGTAAACCAAAGTGTTGGTAGTTAGAGACTATTTTCACACATATATTTGGGAAAAAATACTACATTATGACAACTACCTTATGAAAAACTGAAACTTCTCACCTCTGAACAAAATAAAGGAACTACAAATAGGGATTTTGGGATAAGATGGCCTGTTATATAGAGGCATCTTTATAAATAGCTGATTGTAAAGGAAGTGAAGAACCCTGACAGAATGTCAAACATACTTCACAAATCAGAAGAGCAAAAAAGGCCAGGGCATCAGGCCTTGAATTCCTGTCACTGTGCTGTCACACTGTTCAGCAGTAGCAGAAGCCAGTGCCCAGCACCACAGTCAACATTGTCACACAGTGCTACCGAGGGCGCTGGGCTGCAGGGGGGAAGAAGCCCTCTCAGCAGCATCTGAGATGTGCTAGAAGACTGGGCTAAAGTAAAAGCTAGGCCTGACCAGAGGAGGTTCCCCACTAAAACTACCTTGGCGTCAACCAGTCACTGGATCAACGGATGAGAGAACTGATGCCGCAAAGGTGCTTGCCAGGCCCTATACTCTGTGCAGGGAGACACTGTGAATAGCTAGACCCAATCCCTGGCTGTTCAGAATCCTTACCCTTATGGAAATCTAGCCAAGTGAACAGAGATGGTGAAACATAGAGGAGCCACATCACACAGAGTGAGGGATTTGAAGACAATGGAAATAAGGCCATTAGGCACAGAGCAGGCACTCAATACATGTTCACTCTCTTCCCTTTTCTCCTCAGGGTTCCCCCTCTTACTGAATGGCACCACTCTCTTTCCACTCAGTGTTCCAATGTTCCATGATGGACATTAGAGCATCACCTTTGACACACCCCTCTCCTGCTATAAAACTGTTACCAAATCCTATCACCTGGCAACCACAACAGCCTTCATATCCATCTCTCATTTCTCTAGGCCACAGCTCTGGTTTATGCTCTCACCACTGTATGCCCATGTGGCCACATTGTTCTCCTAAAGGCTTCCAGTCCCCAGCTATTCCCAATCTGAATTAATTTACCTTATCACCTAATAAAACCAGGAATGTTAAACCAGGAAAACACACACACACACACACACACACACACACACACACACACACAAAACCAGATCAAATATTTATCAGAATACTTGAACATAAATAGCTTTTGACATTAGAAAAACAAAACTATTTCCATGAAAAAATAAAAATAACAACAAAAAAATAAACTAGGTCAAAGCATCACACTCTTATTTTCAAAATACTTCAGAGCTTCCTCTGGCCACAGAATCAAGTGTGTACATCTCACATGATTAGGCTGTAGCCCTCTAGTTGCCCTGCCCACCCTATCTAACCACACTCCCCCCTCAGCAACCCGAACCTCTACTGAGGTCACACTGGCAGGGAACATAGTGAGGTACCTTCCTAGGTATGCTGTTCCTCAGCCTGGCATTTCTTTTCTTCAAAACAATCTCCCAGTCCACTAACCGCTCCATTCAAGGCCTCTACTATAGAATTTGCTCCATCCTGTCTTATTCTGGAGTTTTAAACAATAAACTCCCTGAAAGCCTTCTGCATTTCTGTATTCCCCACACAACTTAGAATCACTTTTTTGTCTCAGAATGTACTCAACACATACTTATTAAACAGAAGAAAAAAGGCATCTTACATTCAGCCGAGTTTTAACAGCTAAACTATGAAAGAAGATAAAATATTGCTGGAAAAAATAGACTAGCATTACACGCAACCAATGTAAATAAGTAAGTTTCAAAACTAAAACTACCACTGGTCATTTCTCTATCAGTTCAAAATGGTGCTTGAGCACAAACACCGCATTCCCTGCCACATCAATTGTCCAGAAAAGAAGAAAAATACTTGGAATAAATTAATCCACAAATTTTTAACAAAAGTCCCAAGTAATCCCCAGTGGCAGTTTTACATGGTAGCTTTTCCTATCCCAAATCCTTACTCCAGCTTCCTCTCAGACTCTCTCGGGATTAGGGTAGCCCCTTCCTCTCCTTCAGTAGGCACCTAGCCTACAGTTTGCTGGGGGAGCATGTTACCTGGGCATCAGCAATGTCCACGAAGTTGTACTTGTCGGTGAGTTGGAGATAGTGAATGTTGAGAGGAGTGCCCAGAGCTTCCAGGGCCTTGGGGTGGCTATGCAGCTGCTCCAGTGCCAACTGGTAATAGGAAGCCCTGGAAAAAGTTTCTAAGTGGGAAAGATAGTTGTTACATTTTTATTTTCTTTATCAAATTTGGTCAAGGAGACTCTGTAGAAAGTTAAATGACACAATTCATGTACAACATGGAACAGATACAAATATGAAATTTATGGATGAAAGAATTAGGTACAATCTACTCTAAACTGTCCATTTTTGAGACTCCAAAACCAAAGTCTACAAAGTCAGGATCTGTGGGAATCTTGCAGATGATGTTGGGAAAAGTACTTGACCTTTCTGTGCCTCAACTTCTCCACCTTTCATTTCCTCACCTCATTTACTACACCTCATTTCTTCATCTAAGGGGCTAGATCAGATCTTCTCTAAAGCTCCTTTTGGTTCTAAAGTCCTAGGATACCATGATTTGCTCAAAGTGACACAGTTGGTTCAAGGCAGAGTTGAGGCCGGAATCTATGAGTGAACTTCTAAACATTGCTTCTTCCACTAAGATGAAGGTGATGATAAAACAGCATAAAATAGACCATAACATCAATAACAACAAAACCCTCAGGCCAAGATATAGGACATTAAAATGCTATTTTTTTCAAGTTAACAGTTTTATGCTGACATTTCATGTGGATAAAAGATATAACCTGCTCTGTCTTTAGTACCCTTCTTGGCCCAAAGTATACTTGGAACTCCAGGAAGTACCTCCCTAAAATTGTAAGGTACTAGGGAGAGAGCAAAGGTAGGCTTCCCAAGGAAGGTTTTTAGTTTGACAACCAGAAAATATTTCCCTCCTATACACCCGACCACAGTAATAAAAGGGAGAATCACCTTGAGCCTGATGAGGCCAAGGAGAAGGCCCCTCCTGTCCTGCTTCCCAGGAATGGGACTACAGGGGATGCTGTGGGAGTGAGCAAGGTGCCAGCCATGACAAGAAAAGCAGTAGCAGATGCTAGGTCCAGACAGTTAAACTTTATTGTAGATTTCCATGCCTAGATGCTGTTCTCAGTATTACATATATCTTACAATTCTCACCATCTCACAGGTTATGCGATTTAATTTTTACAACCTCATGCATAAGTACTAGTATTATCCCTCATCACACAGATAACTGAGGCCCAGGAAGGTGATGAACTCCTTCAGAAGCCACACAGCTAGTCAAGAGCTGGAGGTGGGATTCAATGACTTGGCAGCAGAGCTCAGCTAGGCTAATTGGCTGACTCCAGCTTCCTAAGGGGGAAAGGCTATCAGTCCTCCAACCAGTAAAATGCATCCATTCCTGTCATGTTCTGCCTCTATCCCTTTGGTAAAAGGGAGAGGAGGCTGAGCTATTCTAGTCCGAATTATCCCTGGGAATGCTCATTTTGGGTCATTGCCAGACTCAAAGACCTCTGGGTCAACTGAAAGAAGGTCAGAAAGAATGAGTGGAGAGGACACCGTGCTTTGTTTGGCTGTTGGTGATTCTAACATCCTGGCAAAAAGTGAAAATGCTGTTGAGTGAGGGTGAAAAGCCAAGCTGAGAAACCATGGAGGAGCTTCAAAAAAAATTATTCTTGCCCGGTAGGGCATGGCTCAGTGGTTGAGCATCGACCTAGGATCCAGGCGACTGGGGTTTGATTCTCAGTCAGGGCACATGCCTGAGTTGCGGGCTGCGGCCTATCAATGACTCTCTCATCATTGATGTTTCTCTCTCTCTCCCTCTCCTTTCCTCTCTCTGAAATCAATAAAGATATATTAAAAAAAAAATTATTCTTAAAAACAAACAAACAAATGCTATTGCTTCACAACAGTAGCAATTAAATGACCTTAAATGTCCTGGTTACTCACAACCGTGGCTTGTCTTTACAAATTCAAATTTGAATGGAGTGGGGCTGGAAGCCACATCTGTCAAGGTTTTTGCCATCTGGACTATTTTTACTTTCTGCTCTCACCAGAGAGAGTCCTTTGCTCAAGGTCCCCTCCCTCCACTAAACATTAAAGAATGGCAGACAAACAGGCTGAGCATACTTGAGAAATAGAGCCAATTTTCCCCACCTGTGAACCATCTGGTATTCCCCCTTCCCTCTGTTCTTTGTTTTGTTTGTTAATCCTCACCTGAGGATATTTTTTCCATTGCTTTCCAGAGAGAGTGGAAGAGAGGGAGGCAGGGGAGAGAGAGGGAGAAACAGAGATGTGAGAGACACACATCAACCATTTGCCTTCCGCACAAGCCCTGGCTGGGGGTGGGGAGTGAACCCCAAGCCCAGGTACCTACCCTTGACTGTGAATTGAACATGATACTCTAACTACTGAGCCACACTGGCCAGGGCCCTCTGTTCTTCATATAATCTCAACAATCTTGGATGTCCAGTGTGTGCACTGAAATGAATGCCCATCTTGCGTTTGCAAACAAATCCTGATCCTTTTGTTAGCACAGGTAGCTAGACATTAATAAGAGACGAGAGCAAAGGGAATGAGACATTAAGAAACCTAAAAAACTGGGAAGCTGAATTCAATATTGGGCCTGCTTAATTGGAAAGCTACAGCTACACAAACTCCCCAGGGAACCACCGGTCCATTCCTGGCAGATAACTGGGTATAGGGATAGAACAATAAAGGAGAAATTCCTCTGCTGGGTGCAAGCCCAGTAGAAGCCAAGATGGTGCAGGGGGAGGTGTGTCTACTATGAGGAATGTGTCTTGTCTAGCCTGAAAAAAGATTGGATTAGATAAAGGACATAGAGCCCCCCAAAATATAGGAAGTGGACTGGTTAGTGGGAAGAACCAGGAGAAGCCTGTGAAAGACTGGGAAGTTGATTGGTTATTTTGAAAGGGGACCTGGTCCTTCCCAAGCCCAAGATAATGAAGTATGTAACCCTCATTTTTCAATCATGAAGCATGTAACCTTCATTTGTAATCTGTCAACCCTGTTCTATAGCCCTGAACAAACAGTTACAAGCTAGGAACACACAGTTACAAGCTAGTGCAAGGAAATAGCCAACTGTAACAGTTAAACAATGCTTGTTCCGGCTTCTGTATATTGTTTTGCTAGGTTCCCACCCCCTCTCCATGCCAACCAGGATGCAGTTTTGCCTTTAAATTCTCCCTGTGAAGACTGGGGCTGCGAGTCTGTTTAGGGCATGAGCCCCTTGTAGCCGCTGGCTTAATAAACTTCCAAACGCTCAATTTGGTCTCTGTGAATTAATTTCGTGAAAACTGGGTATAACAATAATATAACCCAACCTTAACAAAGCTCTCGAGCTGTCTCTCACTAGGTGACATAAGCTCACCCTGTTCATTTGCACTCTCTCTAGGTAACAGCCATGTGGGCCTAGCAGCGCCAGAGTGCAGCCTGCAACAGACTACACTAGTGAATGAGAAGAGACATGGACCACACTGGACTAAGCTTGGACACCTGCCCTTTGTACTGGGCCTGAAGAACACAAGGCTGGACTTTTTCCACTATGGGACACAGAGATGAGACATTGGGAATCTGGGGGCTGTCTTCTATTTCCACCCAATAAATCTTACCACGAGACCTCATCCTCCCTTGTGGGTCCCTGGAAATGCTTTACTTGTGATACCACAAGGACCCCATTTCCACTGGTGCGCAAGGTGGGGCCTGGTAGAAATACTGGCTTTTGGTAAGAAAGCTAAGACCTCACATCCTATGTTGGAAGGTCTTTTCTTCACTTACCTCATCTCCTTCCTCCCTTTTTCCCCCCCTCCCCTCTCCCCCCTCTACTGCTGCCTCTGTGCATTTTCTGGTTTCTTTTCTCCTCCCTCACTGCCATTTCAGATTCAAATCCAGAATACCCCTTGCCCCAACTTCGTGGGTGTGGGCCAAGTGGCCTTGCTTCATTGCCATGCAACCACCTCAGACTTCCCCCGTAGGAACACAGCACTCCTGTGAGTGTGGGACCCATTTCCCCTCTGGCAGCCCCAGGTCCCTTTGTTCTTAGCACTGCCCCACAGACCCACAGGCTGGGTATTTCCCTTCCCTCCATTTGGTGCTGGGGTTCCCTGCAGGGCAATGGGCTGATGGGCACCAGGGAACATAGAATGTGGGAAGTGTGCACATACCTACTGCTGTGGTGACTTCTGCTCCTGGCATGTGAGGCCCCCTAAGTGCCTTCCCCCTCTGTAGCTGCAAGTGCTCAGGAGACCAGCCCAGGGACCAAGCCAAACCGAACTGCAGCCACATGGGCATGAATGAACTGCACCTTCCCCTTTTGCTCCTCTCCCCACCCTAGTGTGCCTGTGTCCCAGGAGCACTGGGGGGAGGGCAGTAGCCCACCCCCAGTGCTTCTGGCCCCTGCTGCAAATGCAGCTGCTTCCATAGGACACTGAGTTCCCTTAGCTATGCAGTATACATGGTAAATCTGCCTCCAAGGCTGAAAACTTCCCAATCCCCAAGCCTGAGATGCAAGCACTCACAGAAATGGGAAGGTTTATATTAAACTAACTGGAAAGTAATGATTAAAAAAAAACCTCCACAAGAAACTAATCTGGAGACTGACTGTTAATTTTCCCACAACTTTTGCATCCTCTCATGCCTAGCAATTTATAATTTTCTTAAAAAAGGCCTGAGTTATAGCACAAGATTTTCCACCCAAGGCAGCAGAGGTGCTAGACACCCCTCATACAGACAGACATGAAGGTGAGGACCTCCGGTAAGGCTAGTTAAGGCCAGAGGCCATCAAAATGGCCCATGTCGAGTTAAATAACCCAACTAACAGTGCCTGACTTTTGGTAAGGCTCCATACCTGGATATAACTGTATTGCAATCTTCTTCAGGGAGGTCTCCTCTCCTGCTGGGGGAGGGTTGAGGCACAGGCTGTGAGACCGACACCACAGCCATCAAGGGCAGGAAAAGGCTGGCAAAGAAGGGGTCACATGCCATCCTGGGATTTTGTCCTATGACACAGGGCTAGAGAGCACTAAGAACGTTCATGCTCCCCTCAGCTACTCAAGTTCTTTCTCTTTTACAAGGAAGAAAGTTTTTGGCAATACTGCCTCCATCCACAGTGCCTCAAGAGACCCCTTTTGGGGCACGTACTTGCCAACTAGCAGAAATTTAACTTTGGGTCCCTCAAGAAAAGGGCTTATATATAATTGGCTTTTTGAAACCAAAGTCTGTACCTTTTAGATACAAATATGTAGTCTGCAAGAACTCTAATCTGCTCCATCTCTTTTGAAATGCAAATTTCTGGAAGGTAAATCTTATCAAAAGAGAAAAACCTTAGTCATCTGAGCAAATCAATTTAACTTATTTCAGCTGTTCCTTTCTAGAGCAGTATGTCTCTTAAAAGTATGTTTGCCAATAGAAGAGCCTATGTTTCTAGAAGTTATGAAATGTGTTTGCTAATCTAAACAAAGCTTACCTTTTAGCTACCTAATGCAAAGTTGAAGTTCGGTCATTTTCACTCTGTTAAATAGGACAAGAATTTCCTTTTGCTTTACATTTTTCTACCTAACCAAGACTTTGCCTGGAATGTCATGTCTGAGAGAGACATGCCTGGACTCTGGATGTCACCAGAAAGCCTTAAGGAATTAAGATTGACATTCAAAGCTGACAAAAGCCCATTGGAGAAACAGCCTGGTACCTTGCTTATTCCTTGTATGATTCCAGCAAACCAGATTTAAAAGAGTTTATATGATCAATTGCTATTCTTGTGTTTATGCACATAATCAGGCCAAATTAAAACTAGACTTAACTCATTCTCTTTGATAAAAATAAGGGTGATTTTAGGAAGAGAAAGTGTGTTTCAATTTCTCTTCTTAAAACTCCCCCGTTAATTGCCTTTAAAGTTTTGTTTTTCACTTGTGAAAAAAACCGGTTCCTGAATTTTCTAGTTGTCTTCGACCCTCCAAACTAAGGTTTTATTTTTTTCTCTTATCCTCTGAATAGGAATTATTGAGAACAAAAGCTTTTTTCCTAAGGCTGTGTTTGGGTATGCCACACAAAATGTGCTTAAACACCTAATGACATCACCAAAGATGTTTAAACTGCAGATGAAGGATCTATCAAAATGTCAGTGCTCATTTTCATTCTAGCAACTAGAAGTCTTTCCTTTTTCTTTAATCCTCGCCCAAGGATATACTTATTGATTTTAGAGAGAGAGGAAGGGAAAGAGAAACACTGATGTGAGAGAAAAACATCGATTGGTTGCCTCCCATACGTGTTTTGACGGGGGATCAAATCTGCAACTTAGGTATGTGCCCTGACAGGGAATTGAACCCACAACTTTTTGGTGTATGGGAAGATGCTCCAACCAACTGAGCCATGTGGCCAGGGCTGGAAGTCTTTTCTACTGACAGTCTTACAGACTCAGAAACTGGTTTATGATTTGCAGTGTCATTAACCTGTGTATTTTTTTTCTTTCTTCTGTTTTGAAAGCCCATCTGCATCACTGCCTCCAAAATTGAGACTCAGCAGTTTGACTGGACTGACTGACTTATTGTCAGGACTAGATGGTTGAGTTGGTGAAGTATAAAGTGGTCTCTTGGATTCACGTGAAACTGCTTTCCCTTTTCTGCCCAAATGGTTCACACAGAAAAGGCCTGCTTCAGAAGGGAAATCTCAGAATGTTCCCTTTAGCCTAATTTGAATTTAAGTATGGTAAACAAGAGGGATTCAAACAGGTGCGACACACCTTCCTCCAGGGAAGCCCATCTTCCAATCTGGAACATAGAAAAGTTAGTCCCTTCTTCTATCGCCTGGTTCTTACCTCTCACCAGACCTTCAGTTGCTATAATTCTCTTCATTTTTGGACTAAGCCTTTTTAACCTTTTCATCAAATTTGTCACCTTTAGAATATAACAAGAATGCCAGCCTATCCAGCAGTGCCATCCTCTAGACATCGCATGTGCCACCTCCCAAGGACAGCAAGACTAACCTGGACTTTACAACAACCCCTTTTTCCCTCCTTGAAGTCTCCTCCTTTTCACTCCTTTTTTAGCACATAGAAAGAATCTCTGGGACTGGGGATAGGCAGGTCTATGCTTTTTGACAGCAAGGGGAAGTTACAGAAGATCAGACCTCCATCCATTTACCCTTTTAAGATTACAAGGCCCAAGGTTCTTCAGGGGGTAAATATGTTAGTGTAGGTAGCAAGATATTAATAAAGGAAGGAAACAAAGGGAATCAGACATTAAGAAATAAATAAACTGGGAAGTTGAATCCAATATTGGGCCTGCTTTACTAGAAAACTACAGCTTCACACACTCTCCAGGGAACAAGTGATCTGTTCCCCACAGATTACAGGGGGGAGGGACAGAAGAATAAAGGAGAAATTCTGCTGGGTGCACACCCACTAGAAGCCAAGATGGTACAGGGTGAGGTGCTTCTACTATGAGGCATGCACAGTAGGAACTAAGATTGCAACCATAAAGACCTGCCTGTCTAGCCTGGGAAGAGGATCTAGAAAATGGATTGGTTAGGAGGATGAAACCCGCAGAAGCCTGCGAAAGATTGGGAAATTGATTGGTTATTTTGAAAGGGTACTTGTCCTTCCCAAGCCCAAGATAATATAACCTAAGCTTATTTAACAAATCTCTCTTGCTCGGTAACACATACGCTCACCCCATTCGTTGGGTGTTCTCTCTCTGCAGCAGCCGGCAGTTGTGCAGACTCTAAGCACTGGTAAGATTAGCCAGAGGGCAGTGGGAACAGAACACATTAGCCGGATGAAGATAGAGATGTACTAAGCTTTGGCATGGGGCAGAACTTTTGGACACAGGCCTTATGTACTAGGCTTAATGAAGACAAGGCTAAACATTTTCATGGCAGGAAGGATGGAGATGAGACACTGGGAACCCAGGGGCTGCTATTTCCACCCAAATAAATCTTTTTTTTTTTTTTAAATATATCTTTATTGATTTCAGAGAGAGGAAAGGAGAGGGAGAGAGAGACAGAAACATCAATGATGAGAGAGTCATTGATCAAGCCCACAACCGGGCATGTGCCCTGACTGGGAATCGAACCCTGATCGCCTAGATCCCAGGTTGATGCTCAACCGCTGAGCCACGCCCAGCAGGGCCCAAATAAATCTTACCACCAGACCTCATCCTCCCATGTGGGTCCCTGGAAATGCTTTTCTTGTGTGACAATGCAAGGACCCATTTCCACAGGTAACACTTTTAGTTGTACTTGTGGCTCCTGAAAAACTGGGATTATAGGATAAGTAGGAGGCCACAGGAATGGAATGGTGTACTGGTTCTAAAAATGGCCCCCTCCTCCTTTCTAATCTGCAGAAAGCATGTGAAGTATTTCCTATGATGGAGGAATTTAGAATAAGACAGCTAGGAAGAGGCCATGCCTCAGGCAGTTTGCGAAATACTTACTCTGTATAAGGTAATACACAAGGGCACAGCCCCCACTAGCCATCACACTGGTAAAAAGGAACAGTTTTCCCAGAGGCACTGACATCTTGCTTCCTAGAGACTTAAACAAAAGATTAAAATTTATTGTTAGATTCAGGTTCATATGAAGGGATTTTGTCTGGATTGGGCCCCAAAGGTAAAGAAGAGTAAGGAGGAAGTCAGCAAGGAGGCATCTTTCCTTCTTTGCTTCCTTTCAGAATGCCAGGGCTGGTTCTGGAGCCAAAGCAGAAGTGCCCTTCTGAGGGTGGCCTAAATCTGGGACCCATGCTGTGGGGGTAGTGGCTGAGCACAGAGCAAACATGCAGCCCTGCAAGTGCTACATGGCCAAAAAGCACAGCTACTTTGTGTCATGCTGGCCGGTAAACTGGAAGCTTATTCCTTTTGTGGTAATAGCTGATCTTGTGAGCCTTTGAATGGACCTGAGTGATCACTGGCTGCTTGGGATGACGGAACTGTGGTCTTGACTTTCAGGCTGAATGAACAGTTAGAGAGGAGCCAGCTCAGCCTATTCAGAACAACACACCCAACCCTTGTCCCCAGAAGATTTGGGTGGAGCTAGGAGCAACCAGTAGGCCTTGATGTGGCCAATTATCCTCTTTTTGGAGAACATTTACCCATGCTCAAACCTGGGTCTGGGTCTTTCTGGAAAGCTGTAAAATACCCAACCATAAAACAGTAGGATACTGGCTTACATCAGGGTTTATAATTGAAAAGCCCGCAGGGCTAGAAAAGTCACATAAATGGGAGCAGATATATGGGCCAAGTCTGGATGAGTCTTCCAATTTTTCAAAAGGTCTTTAATGAGAAATTGTCTAAATTCTAAAATTTGACAACCAATTAAAAACAAACAAACAAACAAACAAAAACTAACAAAATACATCTGTGAGTCAGATTCTTTCTGTAGGCTTCTAGTTCGCTGTGACTACTCAAGCTGCATCAGGATATCCTTATCCTAGGTGAGATAAATTTCTCTCTGTCTGTCCTTGCTGACATTTCTCAAAAAAAAAAAAAAAAAAAAAAAATTTT